AGGCTTTTTTTAAAAAAAACGTGAACTGATAAAAAACGCTTGATTCTACTGATTAAAAGCTTCCAGCCATCAGTAGGAATGTTTGTGTTTATGTACAACTGTGTGCCAGCTTTGGCTTGTTATTTATTGTTCCTGTGCGCTTGTAGCTGAAGTATGGTGAAGACGGAGAACACTTTCAGTCCACCTTCCACTGCGACATGGGATCCATGGAGAAGTCTGGTCTAACTAGCCAGGTGATCAGCCAGGTGAGCCAGACAGCAAGCTTGCCTTTACACAAAGTCAGAAAGAGGGTTTCTATTTTGGTTTTGCTTAAATTCTTTATTTTTGCATTACTCTAAAATAGTTCTCTCTAGCGGTCCAAAGTAATTTAATGAAGTTGTTAATGTTTTAAGGTAAAGATTTGTGTCTCAGAAATGTCTGGAACTAATTGTGTTTATTTGGCTGTCTAAAGCAGGSCTTTCAGTCTCAGTCAGAGTTCTCCCAGCAGCAGGCCTGGTACATGGGGACRGTGACCAACCAGGAAGTGGTGACAATGTCTCAGGCACACAAGACAATCAGTGATGTGGGTGCACATACACCTGAATCCCTAAAGATGCTTTATTTAAGTTATATTTAAAGTTTTTTTTGGCTTGTAGATGTTTTTGCTGATTCACTTTGTGTTGCTGTTGCAGATGAAATACTCAGAATATGAGGAGTCTAAAGGAAAAGGCAGCTTCCCTGCCATGATAACACCAGGCTACCAGGCGGCAAAGAACGCCAACACTTTGGCCAGTAGTGTGAGTAACTTGAGAGCCAAAAACTGAATGTATCTCTGYGATTTTAGGTTTCAGTTTCATGTCAAATATCAAATCCAAACCTAAAATTTAACATTTCAATCTTGACTTTTAGAGCTCTTAATGGACAGTCCCCTCAATGGTACAGAAATTTTGACTCCTAATTTGGAGGCCTTAACATACTCGAAAACTCCTTCACCCAAAATTGTCCCCTGGCGAAAATCGCATGATTCCTTTGGAATTTTTAATGGGTGTGGCCAAATGACTCAACAGCGCCACCTAATGTGAGATAGAGGAACTGGTAAGTCCTAGAGAGCTGAAATTTGGGGCATTGGTAGAGCTCCCCAAATCAAGAAAAAAAGTCTCTTGGAGGTATGCCCTAAAACCAACAGGAAGTCGGCCATTTTGGGTCAAATGTCAAATTTTGGCTGATTTTTACCAGTTACTCTATCTCACGTTAGGTGGCGCTGTCGAGTCATTTGGCCACACCCATTAAAAATTCCAATGGAATCATGCAATATTCGCCGGGGGACAATTTTGGGTGAAGTTTGGTGAGTTTTCGAATATGTTAAGGCCTCCAAATTGGCMATATACTCTTCTGACTTCTTTAAGAATCAGCTTCAGACTCGGTTGATCAGACAAGCTTTTAGCTAAACGTATTACTTAATGTTTTATTAGWTGCATTAACTTGTTTTACGGTATGCTTTTATGCTTGTATTGTATGTTTGGATTATTTTTGGTTTGCTCCATACGAAGCGCTTTGTGATGTTTAGCTGTGAAATGTGCTATACAAGTAAAATGTAGTCACTTACAAATCAAAAAACTCAATGTTTGTCTTTTTTTTATCAGCTGGAATATAAAAAAGGACACGAAGAAAGAGTTTCAAAATACACAACATTTGCTGATCCGCCGGAGATGCTTCTGGCCAAGAAACAAGGACAAATTGCCAGCGATGTGAGCTTTCTATACAGGATTTCTGGATTACTTTAACATTTTGAATGAGTTAGTCAGTCATGTGTTGCTTTTTTTCCCCCATCAGTATGCATACACAGAGGAATATGAGCAGCAGAGGGGGAAAGGTAGTTTCCCAGCACATCTCACTCCTGGATACAAGATGTCAAAAAAGGCCTTAGAGCAGGCCAGTGATGTGAGTCACCACACAAAATACTTTACTTATAAAGTACTAATAATACTTATATAAAGTATATAATACAATACTTATATAAAGTACTTATAAAACTTATATATTACTTATAATACTTTATAAAGCACTTTTGCTCAATGCTGATTGTGTCGTGTCGACCCAGATTAAGTACCGTCAGACGTACGAGCAGGAGATAAAGGGAAAAGCCAGCGCTGAGGCAGCAGCAGCTGAGGTGGTCCACGCCAGAGAAAACGCAGAGAACTTCAGCCAGGTGGGATTGTGTGTTTGTGTGTAAGCAAAATATCTCACAAACCAGAGGATGAATTTGAATGAAACTTGCRGACGTTAATTACTGACCGTACATCTACAAATGGTTATTTGTTGGACTCAACCCAGTTGAAGATGGCTGACATTAAAAACACGTTCAAATACATGTTTTACAGATCGCCTACACTGAAGCATACGAGCAGCAGAGAGGTAAAGGAAGCTTTCCTGCAATGATCACTCCTGGCTATCATCTCGCAAAGAAAGCTCAGGAAAAYGCCAGTGATGTGAGTATTCAGGCTTCAGAACAAATAACTGTGAAAACTTATAATGATGTCTGAAGATTTRCATCATGTGCTGATAAAAAAAGAAGCGTGTGTCACTTCTGTCKCTATGCGAGCTGCTTTTAAACGCAGCGTGTGAGATCCTCAGCCCCATACATCATCTGTGCGTGTCATTACTGAGCAGGACCGTTGAGAGACAACAATGAGGATATCATAACTCTTCAAACTGTCTGCTGTGATAGAATTAGACTGCACGCGTGTGTCTCTAATCTCCCGGGCCTAACGTGTCACGGATCATCCGTCATTGTGTTGCAGCTGAAATACAGGAAGGACCTAAACAAGATGAAGGGCACGACACACTTCCACAGCCTGAGCACTGAAGACAACCTGAGCCTGAAGAAYGCCCAGAAAATCAACAAGATTGTCAGTGAGGTGAGAATGATGGCAGGGGTGGTTCTAGGGGCGGGGCCACAGGGRCATTGGCCCCTGCTGAAATCTGATTGGCCCCCTGAAGTGCCCCTGTCCTGTCACTCATCTGTCCTTTACGTGGGGGAGATGATGGTGGATGCAGTTCCATGTTCAAACACTAGAGGTGCTAATGAGTCAAACAGCAGTCCAGAATGAAGCAAACTTACAGAGTTCTTCTCTTCTTAAAAYGTGAACAATCCTGCAAAAAGTCTTTGAACTGACARATGACRGCTGGATTTTCTCACATGTGTGTTTGAAAATATTTTATCTATGTACAGTAAAATGTATGAAAAACTGGTGAGGAAAATTTACTCTGCAAGATTTTTGGTACCACTATACAATCAAGCCCCCCTTATAGATGGCTTATAAAGAGTTAATAAATAGGTTATTAATTCATTTGTAAAGTTTACACTTCATAAATCATTAATAAATGAAACTGGAAAATTTGTCTCTTTCTCGTCCTTAATCATTGCACAATAAACACTTATTAATATTTTAAGTGTTTACAGATTAATTAATAACGTATCTATAAACTCTTTAAAAGCCATCTATAAGGGGGGCCTTATTGTAAAGTGGTACCCTTTTTTAAAAAAAAGAAATTACATTACATTACAAGTGTTTGAAGTGTAAAATGTACACACTGGGAATGTGTATGAAAGGATGTTGAACAAAGGCTTGGCCCCTCAATGAATATTGTGGCCCCTTGATGGCCCCTTACTCAGAAAAATCCTAGATCCGCCACTGAATGACAGACTAAATTGGATTATTTTCTGGATAAAATAGATTTTTGCATGTAACCAGTCTAAATAAGCATATTTTATACATACAGTAGATGCAGTGTGTTTAGGAGTTGGAAATGCGGGGTTTAGTGTCAGTTTAAAAAAACCATGAAGCCACCCAACCTGCATTTCCAGCATCCTTAAAATGTCTGTGTGAACGGGTTACAGCTTAAATTCAAGGCCAAGAGCTTCCCACCAAACTCACTATAGTTCACCTCACACAATTTGTGTGATAGTATCTGCAGGTTTTTATAAAAGAGTACAWAGGCTGCCATGACAGACCTCTACTTCCACCATCCGCTTTTATACTTCCGGGTACCCAAAGCAAAATCCAGAATTAATACTCACTATATTATTTTCAGTCTACCTAAAGGTAATCGTCGCAAACTATGAAATTAAACATAATAAAAAAGGTTATCTTACACTATATCAAATGGTGCAGTTTGTGGAAATATTACTCTGGTAGTTTTCCAGATATACTGATACGCAATTCTGAAATGTAGGTATGCACTCAATGTAAACACAGCAGTTTCATCTGTATATACTGAACATATCTGAGGGTAAATGTGTATAAATGTTTGAAAATTTTCACATGTCTCCATCCCATTTGAGTGGCCTTTATTGACCAATTTTCATCCACTTTCGCTCTTTCATTAAGTAAACAAACACTTGTATTTAGCAGACGCACACAAATTTTGCTTACAAATGTTTAATTTAAGGACACATTCGTCCTTAATATGAGAAAGAAAATTGTGCAGACTTTGTTTCTAACTTTATGAATTTTCTTGGAGAGGTCATTGCAGTGAGTAGCTTTATTGTAATGATGTAAAAACTTTTTAAGCTTCTGTTTTTTTAACCAAATAACCACAACTCAGCTTGCAAGTTTAGTTTTTTTTTTAGTATTACTGATTTTTTTAGACTTTGACATCTTAAATAGACAGTATAACCGATTCAAAGTGCCAAAATGAAGATTAACTGAATTAAGAAATTCAAAACAATATATTTTTAGTCTCATTTCATTCCAGGAATGTCACACCAAAATGTAATAAAATGTGCATTTTGCTTTGTTGAAAGGTTCTCTGGACCCAAATCTTTAGTAAGAAAAATATGTTCTCTTTCATTTTCTCTTTGAAGGATTTTTGCATTTGAATTAACATTTTAAGTGTAAAATTATAGCAATGAGCTCATCACTGTATCTTCGAACAATAAGTTACAGAAACTCTTGCGCAACTCTTGTGGTGGTGACTGATCAGCAGAAGGCTTGTCAAACAATAAGAAATCATTTTTGGCACTTGGGTGCTTCTAAGAATGAAGAATAAAAACCAACATGACTTGGCCTTCTTTCTGCAGGTGGAGTACAAGAAAGACTTGGAGAACACTAAAGGACACAGCATTAACTTCTGTGAGACGCCACAGTTTCGAAATGCTGCAAAGGTCGCAAAGTTCACCAGTGATGTGAGTCATAAGACTGAGCAACTCACAAACATGTTAGACATTAAAAAACCTGCCCTTTAAACATTTCTTTATGATTCTGTCTTTTTTTTACTGTAACAGAACAAGTATAAAGAAAAATATACAAGTGACATGAAGGGGCACTATGAAGACTCGGGTTTTGACAAGAAGACTCTGCATGCCATGAAAGCAAGGAAGCTGGCGAGTGATGTAAGTCAGCTTTTTATTCAGCATATTTAAACTCAGAGGTGTATAAAGTACTTGAAAAAATAACAGAGTAACAGTAAAATACCTTATCAGAAAATGACTGGTAAAAGAATTGTTCACTGATAAGAGAAGTACTTAAGTCAAAGTCATAAAACTGCTCACAATAATTGGGAAAGTAAAAGTAAAAGTACTTTTGCACACTACTTTCATTATGAGTCTGTCATATTTAAATTATAGCATGTAACAAGTTATTAGATTTTAATTTAAAGAATTATCATTTTTATGGTTTGAATATAACAAAATAAAAGTAAAAGTTACAATTAAAAAACACTTGGTAAAATTACAGACCCTCAAAAAATGTACTTATTGTAACAAAGTAAGTGTATTTTGTTACWATATACCTCTGTTTAAACTACATTTGCTTTATTTGAATCTGGTTTCATCACATCATGGATTGGTATAAAACTATACTTTCTTTCATTGCACTATTAACCTTTAAAACATCTACTGAGGACAAAGAAATGTATAAATGCTGTAACTAAGATGTGCTTCATTTTGTTATTTTTTTGTTTCAGATTTCTTACAAACAGGGACAGGAGCAGGAGCAGGGTGAATACAACTACCCAGCCACTCTCACACCGGGGTACCAAAGCCAGAAGAAGCTCGACCCACTGAAAGACGTAAGTTCTTCTAAAAGAATTCATGGTTATGTTCAAAATATTATCAACACATTCTGAACACCAGTTTTAAAAAAACCACTAATCTTTTCATACTTTGCTTCCAAGAGTTCAGATACTCCATAAATGAAAATAATAAGATAAATAAAACGCTTTTAACAACACAAAAGCCCTCTTAGAACTGCCGATCCAGACCATTTTGWAAGAATACAAGAAGTTTTGTCATCTGAGCTAATAGAAGCAGAACATTAGCTAAAAGCTAAAATCAGCAAAATGTTACAAAAKTAGCTAAACACTGGCCTAAAGCTAGAAATAGCTAAAAGTTTGCTAAATCAGGGGTGCCCAAACTTTTTTCTCAACAGGGCCAAAATAAAAATCTACCCAAGGGCTGCGACCAAATGCAAAAAATACAAACACTGCTTCAGTAAAGTCCTTTTTAAATTWTGATTAAGCTAGCAGCTAGTGCATTGACTCGTTTTTTGTTTGTTTGATTTTAGCCCGTGAACGCTCGGGCAGCAAAGGCTCATGGGACATTTTTCTAAATTGATCAAATATGAGTGTTTGTGGTCTACATGTGTGCTTAAAGCTAATCTAAAAGTCGCTTGTAGTTACTTGTATTTCATGTTTTACCTTAATTTAATATAATTCAAAGATAAAGTCAGCACCGTGAGTGAAAGTGGCAAATAAAATAGCTTGACTGGCCAAATTTGACCCACGGGCCCCACTTTGGGTACCTCTGGACTAAATGTATCAAAGGCAGGGTAAAAGGAGCAATAGAATATCTAAAAGTAGCAAAATGCTACTGAGAAGCTAAAAGTAGCTAAAGCTCAGCTAAAAGTCTCAACAGGCTAATTAAAAAAAGGCTGGCTAAAACCTAAAAGTAAAAAAAGATCAAATGAGCTGAAGTTTTTGACACATGTATGGATAAAAAAGCTCAAAGTTTACAGAAACAGTAATATTGCCAAAATGAATGTATAAAAACCCCCAAAATGTAATAAATTTAAATAATGAAAAGTAAAAGCTACAATAAAAAGAACAGATCAATGATGACAAACAAATTTGGCAAGAAATGAGTCAGCTTTTTGTAGCTGAAACGTAACGTTAAGTGTTTACTGCGTTATTAATAATGATTAATTTTTTGTTTGTTTTTTATGAGGTAACCTTTATTCTAAAATTGTGTTGTTGTTTTTTTTTTTTTTCTCACAGAAAAATTACAAGCAACATATTGAGCGGGTCAAATACAAATCTGTGACTGACACACCTGAGATCATTTTAGCCAAGAAAAACGCTCAGCTGGTCAGCAATGTAAGTAAACAATTTGACTTTGCACATGCGCTTTCATCTACTTTAGTTTTAGCGTAATTTTCCTAATGTTCCTTTATGTAAACTCACAATCCTTATGCCCCCTCCACAGTTAAATTATAAAGCAGGCTATGAAAAGACGAAGCACCAGTACACTTTATCCCAGGATCTGCCAGAGATCCAAAAAGCCAAAGAGAACGCAGCTCTGTGCAGTGATGTAAGTTCATATTTGCATGTCTTACATCCCTCTGCATCCACTTCATCATTTGTCTCTGTCGAGTTAAGACTTTAAAACCCATAATTTTCACTGTAGATCAAATATAAAGAAGAGTGGGAGAAGACAAAGTCTAAAGCCTGTGACATCGGCGTGGACGACCTGAGCGTGCGAGCTGCCAAAGCCTCCAGAGAACTGGCCAGTGATGTAAGCATCCCCGCACTCCTCTTCTCTGAAAACAGATGCAACAAGASTGCAGGAAACAAAAACAAYAAAGTTGATTTAATCCAGTGTTGGCTAATGACATTAAATTGGATGGTCATGTGTTTTAGATTAAATACAAAGAGTCCTACTTGAAAAACAAAGAGAAGGCAGTTGGGGTTAACGTGAGYGACTCCAAGACTCTACACTCTCTTCAAGTGGCCAAGATGAGCAGCGATGTAAGCAGGCTTCAGGCTTCAAGTGTGTACAAATTCAAAGATGTCAGAATTAACGTTCTTTGGTGTTGTCACTTCAGATTGAATACAAAAAGGGCTCGAAGGAGAGCCAGGCTCAGTACAGCCTTCCTCTGGACATGATCAACCTGAGCCACGCCAAGAAGGCTCAAGCCCTCGCCAGTGACCTGGAATATCGCACGAAACTCCACGACTACACCGTCATGCCGGATGACATCAAGGTGCAGCAGGCCAAGAAGGCCTACTCTCTCCAGAGTGAGGTAGGGAGGATAAGTCAACGTGCGCATTTAAAGTGTTATTTTTTAAAAAATAGATAACTGTTATGTCCTGTTACCAATAGAACAAGTACCGTTCAGACCTGAACTGGATGAAAGGGGTGGGCTGGGAGACGGAGGGATGTCTCAACATTACTCAGGCCAAGAAAGCTGGAGAGCTGCTCAGTGATGTGAGTCCATGCTTTGAGCTCATATTTTTTATTCAGAGTACTTCTGCTCCTCGTGACGTTTCGTCCATTTTTCGACTTCCATCCCTCAGAACAAATACCGTCAGAAGGCTGACAAAATCAAGTTCACGCAGGTGGCCGACGATCTGTCCATCAAACACGCCAAGAAGAGTCAGGAGCTGCAGAGCGATGTATGTGATGCAGCGTTATTTGCTTCCACTCTTGTAAATGTATAAATACTATATAAATCTTTTTTTTTAGTTGGCATACAAAGCAAACACCGAGCAGATAATCCACCAGTACACCATGACAAAGGACGAGCCCCTTTTCAGACAAGCTAAAGCCAACGCTGACCTACTCAGTGCGGTAAGCTATGATCACCTTCTGCTTTGTCTTTATTTTTTGCCTTATCACATTTTTAGCAGAATCAAATTTATTGAGAAAATGAGTTTTCTGATAGAGGTCAAGACTTTTCTGTAACTCACTTGTGTTTCCTTTATTTGTTTTCACAGAAAACGTATAAAAGCCAATGGGAGACACAGAGGGAAAAGGGCTTTGAGCTTCGTTTGGACTCTCTGTCCATACTGACAGCGAAAGCCAAGAGAGACCTGGCCAGTGATGTGAGTGTTTTCATTTCAAGTGAAAAGCTCTAGATGTTTTTTTATGAGGTTTACAGCTTTTATTGGTTGCTTTGACACAGCAGTCCACAAAAACTCCACGTGATCAAAACAGTGAACACACAGGACTCAACAGTGACACGACGATCAAAGTGACACATTTTGTTTGCATACGGCTCTAACCAAGCCAAAACATTTAAAAATATGAAGCAAAAGCAAAAACTGCCTTCAAACAACACATCTTGCAGCCATTGTCTGACATTCTTCTCCCTGATGGACACCACAAAACAACACTTGGTGCACCAACGCTTGTCTTTGTAGCCTATTGCATCCCTTTCATGCCATTTGTTATCTTTCCACTCAGAATGTATCAAATGTTCCTTCTTGCAAAGAATTCCAAGACATTTTTTCAAACAGTGGCTACAATATGAAATGCTGTAAATATTACAGACAATACAATACATGTAAATCAAAATACATAAAATCTATCACAGAATAAGAAATTAAAAGAAATTAAATCTATTTGATTATTAGAAATACCCACTAGTGGTAATTGGTCTGTTCTGTCTTGGACCTCCTCCATCCTCATTGATAAAGAACTACACAGATGTTGCACAGGCCTGCAGACTGGTCGCTAAGTGAAGATTTTTGTGCAAGAATGTAAAACAGGTGCTTCAGTGATTTCATACTGAGAGGTAGGTAGCTTCTAACAGTCAGGAACAGGTGGTTTATGTTTGTCATCAAAGCTAAAACAATGGAGTTTGGACTGCTTGAATGATATCTGTGTTCACTGTTCTGCAAAAGAGTGAAGAGAATGTGTCAGTCCATTAAAAAAAGGTTAACACATTTGCAAGAGGTGACTTCTGCTGCTGAGTTTGTGATGATGAACATGAGTGGAACCTAGTGTCTTTAACATCAATGGCTCTCATGGAATTGATTGAACWAATAACTGCTGTTGATCAAAAACAGCATTKTGTTAGTATTTGTGTGGATTTAAAGAAAGCCTAACACTATTGATCACAGGAAACAGTTTGTTACAAGTGACAAATTAGGTAATATCAAACGTGGAGTTCCACAGGGTTCTGTACTTGGACTAAAGTTAATTACGTTTTATGTCAATGACTTGGTAAATGTGTCAGGGCTTTTTAAATGTGTTATTTGCAGATGATACTACATTTTTTTTGTTTGGGTAAAGATATAGAACGGATGTTTGAAATGATGCAAACAGAATTTGTTAAAATACAAACTTGGTTGCAACTTAAATTAGAATTAAATTGGGATAAAACTAATTATATGACATTCAGTAATATAAAGAGAACTGTTGATGTTCCATTTAGAGTTGATGGTGTTGAAATTTTTAAGGTTAGTGAGGTGAAGTTTTTGGGTGTCTATTGATGAAAAACTAACATGGAAATCTCACCTTAATCACTTAAAAACAAAAATAGCCAAATCAATTGCAGTATTGCATAAAGTAAAGGAGTTCTTTATGATAAAGCTCTGTTAATATTATTTAATGCAATAATTGTTCCACACTTGATCTATTGTATTGAAGTCTGGGGTAAAGCATGTAAAACATTTACAAATCCTATTTTTATTTGACAGAAAAGAGCCGTAAGAATTATCACTAGAAGACATTACAGTCACCCATCAAATACATTATTTTATCAATTGAAATAATTAAAATCTTATGAGTTGGTTGATTATAATATTTTGCATATAGTTACTTGAACATTATTATTGCT